ACAGCAGGACTTCACTGGGGAGCAGAGCATCCAGGGACTGCATTTCCCAGGTGAGGTAGCGCGTTGGCGGAGGCATATATATCTCAAAGCCCGGGAGATTGAGTAGGAAATGAGAGGGGGAAGATAGAGAGGGGAGGAAGTGTGCTGATGGCTGAAGTATTAGACCGGGCCGTGGAGTGAGAGTCAGAGAGGGAGTGAGAGTCTGCTGATTGTCAGTCTTGCCACGCTGTCCAGCGAGCCAATCAGTAAGCAGGAGACCAGACAGGACAAGAGGGAGGGGTGAAGGCAGAAAGCACCAGTAGGGCCTTATGGACCCAAGTACAGAAAGGAACTCAACCCCTTGTGTCGCAAACGTGCGCACCAGAGACTGACGCAGTCCGCCATTTTGTTAAGAATCTCCAAGGAACAATGGAGCTGGTGTGCATTGATTTCTTGTGTCTGGAACCCAATTCTAGCGGACAGGGGATGTCTTATTAGTAACAGATCATTTCATTAGATATGCTCAGGCATTCCCCACAAAGAACTAGCAATCATCCAGTGTGGCTAAAGTGTTAGTAGAGAGCTTCTTTGTACACTATGGGCTTCCACATAGAATCCACTCAGATCAGGGTAGAGACTTTGAAAGCAAACTGATTAAGGAACTGCTGACCTTGTTAGAAATCAAGAAGTCCAGAACTACTCCTTATCACCCTCAAGGTGATCCTAAACCAGAACGATTCAACAGAACACTTATGAACATGTTGGCACCCTGCCGGTGAAAAAGGAGCAACAGTGGAGTCAACACATTGCAGCAGTAGTGCACTCTTATAATAGCACTGAGAATGATGCCACAGGCTTTTCTCCCTATTGTCTGATGTTTGGGCAGGAGGCTAAGTTGCCCATGGATTTGGCCTTTGGAACCTCTCCTGATCACTCCAGGGGTATGTAGAGAGACTGAAATATCAATTGGAGACCGCATATGAGGCAGTCAGGCAGGCCTCCCAATCTGCAGGGCAGAGTAATAAACAATGTTATGATTTGAAGGTGAAACTACAGGATTTGCAACCAGGAGACCAAGTACTATTAAGAAACCTTGGGATACCAGGGAAACATAAAATTGCAGCTCACTGGAAATCTCAAACATTTATCATTTGTCGAAAGTTACCAGATCTGCCTGTCTATCAGATCCACCCAGAGGGGAAGAAAGGCCCAGTTAAATCTTGGCACTGTAATCATCTCTTGTCTTTATCTGATGCTGTACAGGTCCCAATACCGACAAGTGGTCATGCAGACTTCCCCATCCCTTTTTTCAGTCAATCCCAGCTCCAGAGGAGGAGGGGATCGATGAGGAAGAGGGGGGGTAGAAATTGGAATAGACTGGCAACCACTCCTATCTGCTATAAATGATAGTCTTCTGGCATCCACCCCTGCTTCAAGTTCAACTGCCCCTTCAATAAGTTTCCAGTCAGAGATTCCCTCTTCTGCAGAAACAATCCCTGCAGGACTTGCTGAGTCTACTTCTTCTTCACCAGATTTTAATATTAAAAACCTCCTCCTTCCTGAACCTGAATTGATTCCTCAAGGAGTTTCTTAAACAAGGTCTGCAAACGAAGAGGCTACTGAACTCATAAACACAGGAGGATGATAGTATGGAAGATGGAGAAAGTGTCTCCCATCAGAAGGAGTTCAGAAAGAGAAGGGAGATAAGAGCACCCAAAAGACTGACTTTTGGGAGAAAGCTCAGAAGAAGCCTTCCATGCTAGTCAAAGGATCAGAGAAGCTCATATTTACAGTTTATTGGAGTGTATGAAAGAATCTTTAAACCCCCCTGCTGATACCATCCTTGAGAAGGTCTCTGAACCTATGACCTTATCTCTTGAACCTGATGGGTCTCCCAACCCTTAGTTTGTTAATCAGTAATGAACATTTCCAATTATTGTTCCTCCTGATTGAGATGGTTAATTTCCTTGCTAAGTGTAAATATGTTATCTCAAATGTTGTTAGTTTGTTTCTTTCTATTATTTGGCGAGCAAAGATTTTAAGAAGGGGGTTGGTATAGGGTTAGATGTAGTGTAATAAAAAGGACATTAGATGGTGATGGCCTACCATTCCGGGGCAATCACACTAGGCATAACAGCCCTCCGGAACTTGTATGTTGAACAGCAGAACTTCACAGGAGAGCAGAGCACCCAGGGACTGCATTTCCCAGGGGAGGTAGCGTGTGGGCATATATATCTCAAAGCCCAGGAGACTGAGCAAGAAGAGGAGGGAGTGTGCTGACACCTCAGATCCAGAGTCAGAGAGGGAGGAGCAGAAATAGTCTGATGATCATTAGTCTTTCCACGCTGCTCAGCCAATCATTAAGCAGGAGACCAGATGGGCTGCCGAATCAGGACCAGAGAGTCTGTGGGGACCCCTTCTGCCATCATAAATGGACAGTTAAGACCTTCCAGACACCATTGATCAGTCGAGAGAGTCCCATACACCCACTAAGTGAACACTGACAATTTAATCACATTTGCTATCTACCTGCACATAGTTACGGACATATCACAGTTACCCTAGTTTGCGGCCTAGTTCTACCTACCGCCATGGTTGGAACACATTTGCATTACAGGCCAGAGTACAGCATTGCCACTGAAACAACAATTTACCCTTTACCCTTTACCCTTTCCAGCTGAATGGGATTTCTACTACTGTTGCTGTCAGGGCTCCCAGGTATGACCAGAGGTGTGTGACTGATGCAGGGAAACGCAGACTTCAGATATGTGATAAACAATACAATTTATTAACACTAACCATACAAACATAAACGCAGTGCAATACTAAACATAATACAGTGCAAACAAACCAAACCAAACCACCTACAGATAACAGTACATACAAGCAAGCGTCGTCAGGCAGGCCGGGTCAATATCAATTGGGCAGGTAGGTACAGGGGGAGCAAGCAGAGAAGAATGGTCGGGGTCACAGGCCAGGTTCAGCAGGTAGCAAGCAGCGTAGTACAGAGGGTCAGGCAGAGGGATGGTCAGGGTCACAAGCCAGAGATCAAAACAGGTAACAAGCAGCGTAGTACAGAGGGTCAGGCAGAGGGACAGAAACAGGATGCAGGACAGATACAGGGGTCCCAGGACAAGGACAAACACCAAGGCAGAGTCTGTGGGTCTGGCCATCCCTTAAATACCCCAGCATAATCAGTTCCAGGTGTTAGCTGGCTGAAAGGTTGAGTCTCTGATTGCTGGGAGCACCCGCTGGCCAGCCCTGGTACTGCAGATCAAAAGGCAGGTGAGTCCCACCATTGCTGGCCAGTCCATTCCTAACAGTACCCCCCCCCCCCCCCCCAAGGAGCGGCCTCAGGACGCTCCAAACAGTCCTAGCTGGGCAAAATGTTCCACCGCCCGGGTCTGGTAACTGGCGGGATATCAAAGACTGGCACACCGGGCAGGACTCCGGGCAGCGGCACACCGGGCTGGACTCCGGGCAGAGGAGGCACACCGGGCTGGACTCCGGGCAGAGGCACATCGAGCAGAGGCACACCGGGCAGAGGCACACCGGCAGAGGCACACCGGGCAGAGGCACATCGGGCAGGACTCCGGCCAGAGGCACATCGGGCAGGACTCCGGGCAGAGGCACATCGAGCAGAGGCACAACCGGGCAGAGGCACACCGGGCAGAGGCACACCGGGCAGAGGCACATCGGGCAGGACTCCGGGCAGAGGCACATCGGGCAGAGGCACATCGGGCAGGACTCCGGGCAGAGGCACATCGGGCAGGACTCCGGGCAGAGGCACATCGGGCAGGACTCCGGGCAGAGGCACATCGGGCAGGACTCCGGGCAGAGGCACATCGGGCAGGACTCCGGGCAGAGGCACATCGGGCAGGACTCCGGGCAGAGGCACATCGGTTTACCAGGCGAAGCAGCAGGCAGCGGGCCACCAGGCGGAGCAGCAGGCACCGGGCCCCGGGCGAAGCAGCAGGCACCGGGGCCCCCGGGCGGAGCAGCAGGCACCGGGCCCCCGGCGGAGCAGCAGGCACCGGGCCCCCGGGCGGGGCGACATGCATCGGGCCCCCGGGCGGAGCAGCAGGCACCGGGCCCCCGGGCGGAGCAGCAGGCACCGGGCCCCCGGGCGGGGCGACCGGGCCCCCGGGCGGGGCAGCAGGCACCGGGCCCCCGGGCGGGGCGGCAGGCGTCGGGCCCCCCCGGGCGGAGCGGCAGGCGTCGGGCCCCCGGGCGGAGCGGCGGGCGTCGGGCCCCCAGGCGGGGCGGCGGGCGTCGGGCCCCCAGGCGATGCGGCGGGCGTCGGGCCCCCAGGCGGGGCGGCGGGCCCCGGGCCCCCAGGCGGGGCGGCGGGCCCCGGGCCCCCAGGCGGGGCGACGGGCATCGGGCCCCCAGGCGGGGCGACAGGCATCGTGCCCCCAGGCGGGGCGACAGGCATCGTGCCCGCAGGCGGAGCGGCGGGCGCCGGACCCCCAGGCGGAGCGACAGGTCTCGGGCCCTCAGGCGGAGCGGCGGGCGCCGGACCCCCAGATGGAGCGACAGGTCTCGGGCCCTCAGGCGGAGCGGCGGGCGCCGGACCCCCAGGCGGAGCGACAGGTCCTCGGGCCCTCAGGCGGAGCTGCGGGCGCCGGACCCCCAGGCGGAGCGACAGGTCTCGGGCCCTCAGGCGGAGCGGCGGGCGCCGGACCCCCAGGAGGAGCGACAGGTCTCGGGCCCTCAGGCGGAGCGGCGGGCCCCGGACCCCCAGGAGGAGCGACAGGTCTCGGCCCTCAGGCGGAGCGGGGGCGCCGGACCCCCAGGCGGAGCGACAGGTCTCGGGCCCTCAGGCGGAGCGGCGGGCGCCGGACCCCCAGGCGGAGCGACAGGTCTCGGGCCCTCAGGCGGAGCGGCGGGCGCCGGACCCCCAGGAGGAGCGACAGGTCTCGGGCCCTCAAGCGGAGCGGCGGGCGCCGGACCCCCAGGTGGAGCGACAGGTCTCGGACCCTCAGGCGGAGTGGCAGGCGCCGGACCCCCAGGCGGAACGACAGGTCTCAGGCCCCCAGGCGGGGCGGCGGGCACCGAGTCACCAGGCACAACCGTGGGCTCCGAGTCAACTGGGATGACCGCTGGCACTGGGTCAGACATTGGATCGTCTGGCTGGACAGCGGGCATCGGGTCACCAGGCATCAGGTCATTTGGCTCGACAGCGGGCACCGCGTCATCTGGCAAGGCAGTGGGCTCCGAGTCAACTGGTATGACCGCGGGCACTGGGTCAGACATTGGATCGTCTGGCTGGACAGCGGGCACTGGGTCACCAGGCATCAGGTCATTTGGGCTTGACAGCGGGCCACCGCGTCATCTGGCAAGGCAGTGGGCTCCGAGTCAACAGGCACGACAGTGAGCACCGGGTCATCAGGTACCGGATTGTCTGGCTCGACAGCGGGCATCGGGTCACCAAGTATGACAGCGGGCACTGGGTCACCAGGCATCAGGTCATTTGGCTCGACAGCGGGCACCGGATCAGGTACCGGATCATCTGGATCAACAGCGGGCATCGAGTCAACTGGCCTAATAGGATCGTCAGGCTGGATCAGTTCATCATGCTGGGTAGAGGCAATCAGGCCGAGTAGAGGCATCAGGCTGACGAGAGGCATCAGGCTGCATACAGGCATCAGGCTGAAGTGAGGCATCAGGCTGCGTACCGGCATCAGGGCTGAAGAGAGGCATCAGGCTGAGTAGGTCTGGCATCAGGCTGAGTAGAGGCTTCAGGCTGAGTAGAGGCTTCAGGCTGAGTAGAGGCATCAGGCTGAGTAGAGGCTTCAGGCAGAACCACGGAAGGCAGGCTCACCGGTTTGGATACTGGCAGGATGGTACTGGTTGGAAAGAATTTTCGCTTTTTTCTGGTTTTAACTACTGGTGCACTGCAAGTAAACGCAGGTCTGCAAACGAATGGAGCAGCTGGAGACAGAGAAGACTGGAGGATGGAAGGAGTGGGAGCCGGTGGCTACAGAGGGCTGGGAGTAAGAAGGCAGGATAGGTGCAGCGAGGGGAACATGACATGCGGTAGAGGGAGCAGGAGATTGCTACAGAGTTTGTGAGCTTAAATTTAATGCAGGAATGGGTTTTGGTAAGTAGGACATGCAGGTCTGGCAGATAGGGTGGGAAGGGCAGCGGAGGGCGTTTTAACAGGGGACTGACATTGGGAGCGGTGTGGTTCGGGCTGAGTAGTAGAGGGATAGCATGGTTTGTTAGGAAGGCAGGCTGTTGGGTTGGATGAGGGGGGGACAGGAATAGAGTTTTTTTGAGGAAATAGATTAGAAGCAGACTGGGTCTATTGTAAGCTGACTGAGGCTAGGGAGGGGGGGTGCAACAAATCTGTCTCATGTCTGCAGGGGGGGGGGGTTGGGAGCGGCCGTGGGGGCAGTCGCCGGGGGGGAGCTGAGCTTACACAAAGCCTGTCTGGTCAATGACTGTACTGCGTTTTATTACAATCTCTTAGTGTCTGTTGTGAACATGTGGAATAAGTATGCGCTCCAGAAAGTAACCCACATCAAATCCTGGGGGATAATAACCACACCAGGGAATGACTCAACTAGGTTTTATACATATCTCTTAGGGGGAGGGGTTGGGTGGAACTGGGTGGAGGGATCATCTAAATGGGACTGGCAAAAAATTCATCCCTGCATTCGGGGGAACCAGATGAAACCAACTCAGCACAAACCTCAATCAAAGGCTGCACCTCAGAGAACTCTGTGCCCTGATCTACTAGAACATGAGCGAGCCGTATACATTCTAGCAGTTCATCCCCGGGTATACTCCTTCAGAGTTTGATAAGCATACTCCCTGTCATCAAACACTAGCAGATATAAATATTCAACCTCAATCAAGATCCATCCTTCCCATCAACAAGCCAAGATGGCTTCCCTGTGCAGCCACTTCTGGTCAGGATTGGCCTTGGTGTAATGTCAGGGCTCCCAGGTATGACCAGAGGTGTGTGACTGATGCAGGGAAACGCAGACTTCAGATATGTGATAAACAATACAATTTATTAACACTAACCATACAAACATAAACGCAGTGCAATACTAAACATAATACAGTGCAAACAAACCAAACCAAACCACCTACAGATAACAGTACATACAAGCAAGCGTCGTCAGGCAGGCCGGGTCAATATCAATTGGGCAGGTAGATACAGGGGGAGCAAGCAGAGAATGGTCGGGGTCACAGGCCAGGTTCAGCAGGTAGCAAGCAGCGTAGTACAGAGGGTCAGGCAGAGGGATGGTCAGGGTCACAAGCCAGAGATCAAAACAGGTAACAAGCAGCGTAGTACAGAAGGTCAGGCAGAGGGACAGAAACAGGATGCAGGACAGATACAGGGCCCAGGACAAACACAACACCAAGGCAGAGTCTGTGGGTCTTGCCATCCCTTAAATACCCCAGCATCATCAGTTCCAGGTGTTAGCTGGCTGAAAGGTTGAGTCTCTGATTGCTGGGAGCACCCGCTGGCCAGCCCTGGTACTGCAGATCAAAAGGCAGGTGAGTCCGACCATTGCTTGCCAGTCCATTCCTAACAGTTGCCTTTTGCCCTTGTCACCCAGAGAGAGTTGTTCTTGCTCACAGACACTTATGCCAACTGCTACACTTCAATACTTTAAATCTGTACTTATTTAGTACCTTAAAGGGGACCTTGCTTCAGTTCACTACCATTAAGAGGAGAAGTACTTATTCCTCATTGTTTCTCTTCTTATCCTTTGTGTTATTATCCCGAGGAACTATCTACACTTTAGATCATCTTCACACCAACTGGGCCCCAACTAGCACACAGAAGACTCCAGATTGTTATTAAAGGGACATTGGTTGATTATAGATGAGAGCTCTCTCCATTTTCAAATCGAATCCTTGCCATCGGGTTCTGTGGACCCTTAGTGAGCTTACCTTTTTATTGATAGTTGTTTTTGCTCACTTGGGATTCAACAGTCATCTCAGATTGGAGGCAGTGAATTATTTGAATTATTTCTGAAAGCAAACCTGTTAACAGTTACTGATACTTTACTATAGATGTTGTTACTTTTACTTAAAGCTGACAAGAGTGATCATATTTGCTGCATATGCCAATGTTATTTTGTACTTGCTGATCAAGCTACGTTCAAATTCAATATAAACTTCATATTGGTTTACACTAACTTGTGTGAGTCCATTTTACAGGGTGACTTATTCTGGTCACGAGGATATGGTGGTGTCAGCAGAGGTTTGGCTTTTAGAAAGAGGTCCAGATTGACAGGGAACCCGAAAATTACTACGCAACCCTTAAGGGGTTAGTGCTACCCTTTTTTTTTCTGGCCAATAGGAAAGTGTGACGGGAGTCACTTTTGGGTGGGGGGCCCATGGAACACAGCCCCCTTTAGAGAGGTGGGGGAGACCCTTGTCTCAGCTCCCCATATCCCTCTTATGTGTAAGTCACCCTGTGCCTTTTAGGGGTACAGGGTGGAATGTCCTGCTATAGGTGGGGGTTGTTCATTGTTCACTGCCATGCAGCTGCATCACATTATTCTATTGTGTGTCTGGCTTGGGAGCAAACTATTATGGGATGTATGTGTTTGTGGATTGGCTTGGTGGGGGTGTTTCCGGCAGCCCTTCCCCCTGATGGGACTGCCTGCTGATATGTTTCCTGTTACTGAGTGTGTATTTCCCCGTCCTGTGTATATATCTTGTATCATGTTAAAATAAAAGCAGTCTATCCCTTGGAATCCTTCAAGTCTGGTGCTGTCTCCTCTTGTATGGTCAGCGGTGGTGTCCGTGGATCTGTGTTCGGACAGGGAAGCGGTAGTTTAACGGAAATACCCTAGTGCAGTCGGGGTCCGGTTCCGTTACATTGGTGGAAAGCGGTGGGATTGTGCTTCCAAGTTGTAAACACGTCCAAACCACCACCGGGATTCAAGATCAGGAAAGGAGACGTTGGTCACCCCAGTGGAGATACGGACCTGGCATCAGAGTGCTGCGGACCGTTCTTGCAGCATACCCCAGGACTGCGTCTGCGGATCAGTACCTGGAGCTCAGGCAGCGGATTTGGGAGGTGCTTTGGAGACAAGCCCTCCAGGTTGCTGGTATGGACAAGGGCAAGTGCTATCCAACCCCAGGGGAACGGGCCAGGGACCATCGGATGTTACGGATGTCATTCATGGGAGAGCGACCCCAGGAGCAATGGGTGACTGAGTTGGACAGGTTGGTCCAGCAGGAGATAGAGCTGGACAACAGATATCGGGCTCTGCAATGGTATGCAGAGCAGAAATATTTAGGGGTGTCAACAGAGTGCTCTCCGGAGGGATATGACTTTGGTGGCCCTGGATTGCTGTGGGAGAACCTTACAGATCATTTTGTGTTTGGCGATGAAGGAGAACCTACCCTTGATTGATATTGAGTGTGATTTTAATGTGACTTTGATTTGACTTTACACTCTTTAGCACTCAAGTCACATCAAAATTGCATCAAAGTATTGCAGGAACCTTTTCAAAGTCGCTGCGACTTTAAGTCGCATACATTTTGAAGGGTTCTATTGCCATCAATGGGCTGCGGTTTGTCGCGTGACTTCATGTGTCCAAAGTTGCATGTTAGGGGCTAGGGTTTTAGTTAAGGGCTAAGGTTAAGGGTCGAGGTTAAATGTTAGGGTTAGGGTTACATGTTAGGGTTAAGGGTTATGGTTAAATGTTATGGTTACATGTTAGGGTTAGGGTAACATGTTAGGGTTAAATGTTAGGGTTACATGTTAGGGTTAAAGATAAGAGTTAAATGTTAGGGTTACATGTTAGGGTTAAGGGTTAGGGTTAAATGTTAGGGTTACATGTTAGGGTTAAGGGCTAGGGTTAGGGTTAAATGTTAAGGTTAGGGCTAAGGGTTAGGATTAGCATTCTAACCCTAGCCCTTAACCTTAACCGTAATATTTAACCATAACCCTTAACTCTAACCATAACCTTTAACCTAACATTTAATCCTAACCTTTAACCTAACATTTAATCTTAACCCTAGTCCTTAACCCTAACTCTTAACCCTGACATGCAACTGTGGACACATAAATTCACATGACAAGTTGCAGCCTATTGATTGCCATGGAACCCCTTAAAATCTAAGCGACTTACAGTCACAGTGACTTTGAAAAGATTACTTCACTACTATGATGAGACTTTGAGAGAGTGTAAAATCATATGAAAAGCGCATCAAAGTCACACTCAATACTTGTCTATTGGCCAAAAAAAATCAAAAACGTGTCAAAAATGCGTGTTAAAAAATGCAAAAAGCTGGTCATGGGGTGTTAGAAAAAAAATTTAAAAAGTAAAAAAATGTAAAGAATTTTCATCATTTTCACCGTCACACCACAGGTAATGCAAGTGGAGACCAGGGGCGGACTGACAACTCATGGGGCCCCCAGGCAATAGGGGATCATGGGGCCCCTGTGTCCTTGCCCAAACTCAAAAAAACCTATGAAAAAGGTACCAGGGGCATCTCATGGGGCCCCCTACTGACCCCGGGCCCTCGGGCGGCGCCCGAGCTTCCAAATGGTCAGTTCGCCCCTGGTGGAGACATTGATCTTGCAGGGCTTTTGAACATCTTTTAACCTAATTTAAGTGACTTTAAGTTT